GTGCCTTACACTAACAGTACATGCAGAGTGGGGTGGTGACATCATTACATCTGCACTGCTCCATGCATCAGTGAGGACCACCCAATACATGGGACAAGACAAAGAGGACTCTGTTCAACACATGACTAGCCTGAAGACATCTGGTAAATATGAAAAAAAAATATTTACAGCTGGGGGTCCTGTAGGATGTTGGGAATGGGGGGTGGGGATCAATTAGCATTACTGCACTAGCAAGAGAGGGCTTCAGTTGTATGGTGAACATCATGCTTTCACCTTTCTGATACAGTTATTCAACTATGATATGCTGATGCTGATGAAGAGAAGTGCCCACACAATGGAACAAAGATTTTTTTCCTGGACATTATAACCACAGAGACACCAGAGCCAACAAGTAATTTTTAACAAAAAAGATGAAGGAGAGAAAAGTGCCACTACCTAGGAGTAGCATTTATTAAAAAAATGTTTAAATGAAAAACAAGAACTATGCACTCACATTTAAAAGATATTAAAAAGGATATCAACACTTCTCCAGCAGGTGGTGACCTTCCAGGTGGTCAATGGTGAGCAAGCCCCTCTGGGTGGATGTGCTGTAAGGTGCTTGGAACCAGGAAGTTAACCAGAGCAATGCCAGGAAGAGCCAACAGAAGCAGCAGACTGTGTGTGTATATCACATGGACACTAGTCACTGGACCACTGTGGACAGCAAGGAAGTGTTGCAGGCCCACAAGATGGCTGTGGTGATGTCATCTGTGGTGTATATGGGCATGGTTATGCATTTCGGGATGTGGCCCCCTTTGTCAAACCTTGGGTTTACTCCAAAACATGTATCAGACTCCTCAAGCCAAGGCATTAATAAGGAGCAGTTAGCTCCAAAACATGTTGCCAGACTCTCTCACGTTGAGGCCCTCCTAGATGTGACGTCACTTCTGATCCTGCTCAGTCCAGGGAGGCTCCAGGATTTCTAGTTTCGTTTCTGGTGTCCTACACAGTACCCAATAGCGGCATCTGCTTCTTGGCTCCTGAAGACACACTAGGCTCAACAGCAAACCGCACTGGGCGGATTACATGCTCTTATCCTTATGCATTTCTTTGCTTGGAAAGCTCGGGGTCTGACCCAGTAGAGAGTGTGTTGGAGCTCTGCAAAGAGATGACTCCTTCCACAGAGAATGTAAAAGTCCCACTTAGGCTTTTCCACTCAGACTGTGGCTGCTTTCTATAGAAAACCATTTGATAGTCTTTGCACTTTTTATTTTGCTGCACCTGGAATGTATTTGGCTAATTTAAACCAAAAGGTCACTTTGGTGTTAATGTTCCCCAACAGGAACATTGCAATAAAAACCTAAAACTATGACCTTTCCCTTTCTCCTGCCCTAAGCAAGATACAACATTTTGACTTGAGTTGGACTAATAGTACTTAGTGGACTTTGAATAACTTATGTTGATTGCCCAAAATATAACACATAATGGAGCAAATTTCCGAAGCTTGCTAGTTACAAATAAAATACATTGTAGGTACATAAAGATACAAGAAATTGGGGATACACTGGCACAGTAATGGCACTGTTGCATATTACAGAATTGGCAGCACGCTACATTAATTTTAGACCATTGAAGCCTTTTCACGAGATTGCTTCATAACACAAAGTAATTGTTTGTTTTCAAAAGCTTCTACCGTACATCATAAAAGGCTAAAACAGCCTATAAATATAGATATAAAATATTACAATCGCTATTATCCCCCCAAGCTTTTGAAGTGCTTTCATCACAAAAAAGTACCGTCTGTAATGCGTGTGCGGCTTTATCATTAAGAGCAACATTTATCTAGTTTTGGGTTCTTTTTTTTTAAAGCAGGTTTGTTAAACTTTCTTTTAATAAAGCCTTCCTGAAGATTTTTAATTTTAAAGCCACAAAATAAAAGCAGTGTAAAAAAATTATAAAGTGTGACAAACTTGTAGCTTTTCTTTTACCCTTTCATCCTTTTTAATTGGTAGCTGTAGCATTAGTTGCACTAATTAAATTTTCTAGCTACACAGAAAGGTGGTGAATATATATAAAGGGAACTTGTTAGGTAGAAAAATGGGAGCTGCTATTCTACTCAGTTTATAAAGAGGAACTTAAGTCTATTCTTTTGTTACTTCAGAGAGGGGAAGTGTTGGAACAACTGTCAGGTTTGATTTTTGCTTTTCTCACATTTCCCCTTACCCTCGGTTCACTCTGTGCGGGGTGGTTGTGGGTGCAGGAATCGCATCTTTTCCTGTACCTGCGACCACTCTCAGCTGAATTGGGCTCCCCTTACAAGACGCACTTTGCTGCCATTTACTCTGAATGTCACCCCCCCATACATCTCAGCCTGCAGCACAATTGCGGGAATCTCACGGAAACCGCATGGTGAAAAAGACCATGCGGTTTTCCTTCAGCCATGATTTCGAAAAGGAGCATGCACATTTTTTTTGTGCATAAGCACGGGCACAGCAGCCTTTTCACATGAATGAACTGCTGTGCCTGAGCAAACGAGGGGGCCTCATGGCCCACGATAGTATGAACCGAGGATTAAAGTGTATCATACCTCTGAAGGACACCTTTCAATATAAAGTAGGCAATGAACACACCATTGCCACACCCCCAAAGAAGTAATATGTCAAAAATGATTGTTTAAACCTACAGGTACTTCTTTTACCAATGCTTTTTCCTTTGTACTGGGTTTTCAATATAAGGTCTTTTTCAGACAGGCGGCTGGGGGGTAGCAAAAATGGGCAGCTGAGCCATGGTTTTACTGCACTTTGGCCGCCTATCAGAACTGTAAAGTAACACAGCTGAAGCATTTTTAACTTTGGGTGCAGAGATTGACAAGCAGCACTACTTGCCAAACTTACCCATTGATGTCAATCGGGATGTGTGCGTTTCAAGCAATCGTGGTGGGATAGTTCAGCATTACAGGGTTAAATTGGATGGAGGGGAAGCGATATAACACCTCCTCACCACCTGTAAAACGCCCTTTGAAAAGGCTATATGAACGTAGTGTGCTTTTCAGAGAACACCACGGTCCACAGAAAATGTGAAAGAGCCCAATATGCAAAAATGAAGGGTTTGTTTATACCTGCACCACTCTTTGAAGAGCAATCCATGGTGGAACGCTTTTCATAGAGCAGTGCAAGTGTACAGTAGCTGACAGGCACTCAGGTGGTGATGATGCCACCTCCTGAATGCTTTTTTTATTTGACAGCGGACAGGGTTTTTGAATAAGAATACTATGCCACACCCGTGAACCTAGTGTTTAGCTCATGGTCGTGGTGCGGCCCCATTCAGTTGGCGTGTTCAGTGGAGTTACAGCCCACCATATGCGACATTTGGAATAATTGCGGCCATGGCAAGTGTGAAACCCTGTACTGCTGCCCTTGCGGCTTAAGAGGGGCAGATTGGGGATGGTAGAACCATGGCTCAACTACTGACTTTTATTGCCCCCGACTGTAAGTGTAAACTAAGCCTTAGAGGTTGGATGAAACTATTAGTGTAGTATAACACTTTATCTAGTTAAATTGTAAATATTTCTGGAAGCCTATACATCAGACCAAAGTAAGGGTCAATTGAGGAGGATGGAGGGACAGAGGGATTTTATTCCAAATGAGTGACAGTTGGAAACTGTGGTGTAGGCAGGGGTGTATTTACCACAAGGCAAAAAAGGCATTTGCCTAGGGCGGCATTTTTTAGGGGGGCAGCAGCATTTTTCAGCGCCATTCCCCGAAAGAAGGAAAGGCAGAAGGGACACACGCAACATGGAGACCAGGTGGGATCTGAGAGAGGCTGCGGACTGCTTGATGGTGTATGCAGAGCCTGACTCTTGTTCCCGGGGATGTCCAGAGGTGAGTGTCTTATCTCTTCCTGGGGTGGGAGGGGTTGCCAGTGTATGAGGGGCGGTGGTAGTGGAAGGCTCTCTCGGGTGGGGATGGGTTTTCGTTGGTCAACGTCAGGCTCTCTTCGTGGGGGAGGGGGGTGTTGGTCGGTGTCAGCTTCTCACCGTGAGGAACTGACCAACAGGTGTACCATCATGTGCTACTCGTGACGCCTTACGTCACGAGTAGCACGTGACTTCATCAGGGTCCTGATGAAGTCCAGTGCTACTCGTGACATAACGCATTGGTACGCCTGTTGGTCAGTTCCGGGACGCGGTTACGTCATTTCCGGTGCACGCGCCATATTGGTACTCCATGAAGCCACATGTTATGAGGACAGCCAGCATTTTTGTGCTTACGATACCTGCAAACATGTGAGTGGGCATTTTATTAATTATTATCAATAAAGTGACAATATTACACTATGGAGTGTATCTATTTGTGTCTCTGAGTGGAACCTAAGGGGACGTGAGGTATTGCCAGGACGGTGGAGTGCAGGAGAAGGTCTGGTTGTAGCCCTGGCTTAACATCTATTATGGTCCAACTAGGAAGGTGGTCCCTGGGAGATCGTTTGGTGGTTACTACAAGGTTTGCTGGCCCTTGTGGTCACTTCAAGGAGGTGAGGGGTCACTCAGACCACTTTGGGATTCATGGCACTTATGGCACCTTCACGTCTATGAAGAGTTTTTTTCACTTGTGTGCAAAGTGGACTGATTTATCACATTTTAACACATACTGAGAGTGCTACACTTGCACTAATGAATGTCATCTCTACTTTGTTCATTGATGTGGATTGATGTGCATTGTGTGATTCACCTGCTCCTTTTATTTTATTTTAAGTGTCACCTATAAGGTTATGACATATCTTCTCTGGTCATAAGGAGCACTTCATTTGACATATGCATATTTATTTGTCTCTATTTTATTAGCTGTAGTTTATTAGCTTTATGAGTATTAGCGCTACACCATTTATATTCATTTGTTCATGTAATTTCTTTGGTACAGTAGTGGGTGTTAGCAGCTTTTACTGTATGTCTTATATCAATCTAAGTGCAGGAGTTTTCTATATATTTTTCTGCTTTAAGGACTGCTCCCTTGCTCCCCATTAAGGATTGGCACCTTTGGGGGGGGGGGGGGAGCAGGTACCTGTCAAATTCAGGTAGGTGATCGGAAGCGGAAAGTGTCCTCTCTCCCTCCCTCCCTGTAGTCTTTTGGGACATGTGACAGGTCCCAGAAGACTACAGGACCATTCATGAAGTGCAGCACTACTTGTGCATGTGCAGTGGGTACCCGGCTGTAAAGCCGCAAGCTATCACAGCCGGGTACCCACTGAAGATGTTGGCCTCCTGGAATACAGGACGGCCAGTGAAACGGGCTGCGAGGGACGCACCGCGGGACAGGTAAGTGTCTGTTTTTGAAAAGTCAGCTGCTACAGTTTTTGTAGCTGCTGACTTTTATTTTTTGACAGGTGAGTGGAACTCCGCTTTAAGGATTGGCACCTTTGGGGAGGGGGGGGGAGCGGGTACCTGAATTTGACAGGTACCCACTCCCACGTCCGCTGCGATCGCCTAGGCGATTGGAAGTGGAAGTCGTCCTCCCCCCCTCACCGTAGTCTTCTGGGATGCATGACAGGTCCCAGAAGACTACAGGACCATTCACAAAGCGCAGCACTACTCGGGCATGTGCAGTGAGCACCCGGCTGTGAAGCCACAAGCTGTCACAGCCGGGTGCCCACACAAAAGATGCTGGCATCAGGGAGAGAAGACGGCCGGTGAAACCAGCTGTGGAGAGGACCCCCCTTGACTGAAGGACAGGTAAGTGGCTGTATTTTAAAAGTCAGCAGCTACAGTTTTTGTAGCTGATGACTTTTATTTATTTTTTTTTTCAGCTGAAACTCCACTTTAAGCTAGCTATACATGGATTGAAATGTGTTTGTTTCAGCAGAGACCAGCCAAATTGTGATGCATGTGTGGCCACAATGGTTGAATAAAAGTTGACCTACCGATTGACATCTGTTCAACTGCCCTGTTGGTGTATTTCCACTCAATTAGCACCGCAGGCAATTGACTGCAGTGCAGATCTGTATATTCTGATGACGGGAGAATCTCCTCAGAGCTGATTCACACATGTGCGGTGCGGATTGAAGCTGAGGTTTCACTGCTAATTGATACAGTAGCTGGTCAGCAGCTCATGTCAGGTTAACATCAGGTTCAGGACAGAATTAGCTGGATTATCTTGTTCACACATATGCAGTTTAGAAATGGTTTCCATAGAAGTCAATAGCCTGTAATCCGCACCTCAACTGGACCGCACTGCTCAGAAATCAGACAGGACTCTATTTCAATTCGCACTGAATCCGCACCGCCAGTGCATTGGGCATATGTGAACAGGTACCATAGGAAGCAATGCTTTTTCACATGTCACGCGGATATTTATGTAAACGCAGTTTATGTACAGTGAAGGAAATAAGTTTTTGATCCCCTGCTGATTTTGAATGTTTGCCCACTCACAAAGAAATGATCAGTCTAAAAATCGAATGGTAGGTGTATTGTAACACTGAGAGACAGAATAGCAACACAAAATTCAAAAGAAATGCATGTCTAACAAATGATGCACTGATTTGCATGTTCATGAGGGAAATAAGTATTTGATCCCCTTCACAAAACATGACTTAGTACTTGGTGGCAAATCCCTTGTTGGCAATCACAGAGGTCAGACGTTTCCTGTAGTTGGCCACCAGGTTTGCACACATCTCAGGAGGGATTTTGGCCAACTCCTCTTGGCAGATCCTCTCCTAGTCATTAAGGTTTGGTGGCTGGCGTTTGGCAACTCAAACTTTCAGTTCCCTCCACAGATTTTCAATCAGATTAAGGTCTGGAGACTGGCTAGTCCACACCAGGACCTTAATGTGCTTCTTCTTGAGCCACTCCTTTGTTGCCTTGGCCGTGTGTTTTGGGTCATTGTCATGCTGGAACACCTATTCATGAACCTGGACTCACTGTCATAATACAATGACACAGTGGGGAGGATTCCCCATCTACTTTGAATTGTGCAAGGGGAAATCTGGTCAGGTTTTCTCATCCAACCAGATAGCTGAACGAAAAAAACTGACCTAAGTATGGCCAGCTTTAGCTGAACCTCTGTGAGCTACAGTACATTGTTCCCAGCTTTCTTTGTGAACTGCAGAACCCCATACTGCCTGTTTGGTTGATTTCTTTTCTGTCCTGGAAGTCGAAGAGGAAGTGGAGGAGCCTAAAGCCCCGTACACATGATGAGAATATTGGATGCATGATCGTCTGTTTTTTTTTTGCATGCTAGTCTCATATCAGAAGTGAAGAGGTTACTAAAGTTACGAAAATTCTTGTACGACAGAAAGAAAATTTGGAAGTGATGTAATGTATTTGTATTGTATTTTCGGCTAAAAATTGTGCTGAGTAAATGACAATCGTATGATCTGGTATCGTATGAGAAAAATGTTCATGCTTGTCCCTTTAAATAATTTTGGATGAATGCTGTGTACTAATGATCAGATTATTATACGATCACTTCGAAAGCGGTACTTTTTCATACGATTTTCGAGCGACCATGGAATTTGAGTGATTGGGCAATATTTTGAAAAACGAACAAATTTCTAATCAATGATGGGAGAATCATGCTAGAAATATAATCGTAAAAGAAACAAGCATGAGCTGTGACCTGGAAAGAAAAGAAAATTCTTGGCCATGAAAATTCTTTTCTGTAGCAACATGTAAACTTGAAGGCTTGATTGGTCAAATTTCGAAAATCAATGGTGGCACCATCGGATTACAAAACACACAAAATTTCCGATTTTCTAAAGAAGATTTGTTTGGATTTCGACCCATGTATGGCCTGCATTAGGCTTCGGTTGGAAGGCGATGGTTTAGGCAGCACACAGGGTGTGGCAGGGACCATAGAGAAATAAAACCCCTGTGGTCTCAGAAAATGTGGTCACACACACAACAGAATAAAAAAGCCATAAGAATAATGGACCATCTACATAGGAAAAAAATATAGATTTTATAGCAAGCCGTGGCTGCTTGTTATGATGTTTTAATATTATTACTCTTTAAAATGAACCAGATATAAACCTTGTGCCAACATTATACTGATATGTATACAGATAATATTTGGGTAATAAGCTATATTCATACACATATCTAGTAAAATTCCTTTTCTCGCAAAAAAATTTATAATTTTAAACATTGCACATTGAATCACTCTTTCTTCAATTTACAGAGAATCTGATTTACTAAAGTGAGAAGTGAAGTGCACTTCAGACATCCAGTCATTTGTAGGGCCGTATGTAGACACCATGGGGAATTTACTAAAATTGGAGCGAGCAAAATCTAATGCAGCTGTGCAGAGTAACCAATCAGCTTCCTGGCTTGAGGCTCAGTTCACACTAGTGCGACTCCAAAGTTCCAGCACGACTTTGATACAACTTTACACTCTTCGGCACTTAAGTCGCATCAAAGCAGTGCAGAAGACTTTTTTTAAGTTTCTGCGACTATAAGCCACATAGATCTGAACATTTGACATTGAAATTAATGGCTTGCGACTTGTCATGCAACTTTATGTGTCCAACAAGTCGCACAAGTATGAACGGAGCCTTACCCCTTGTTCACATATATGTGGCCGTGCGGGCCGCGTTTTGCGCGGGCACAAGAGCCCATTCATTTGAATGGACTCCTGTGCCCTGTGACACGCAGGGAAGAAGTCCCTGCACTTCTTCTGAAAACTCAGACATCACAGGAACCTTGGTTCACAGTACGGTTGTGTTTTCCAGTGCCATTAGAACTAATGGCACCCGCCCGCGGGTCCGCATTCCTCTGTGCGGGTGGTGTGGCTGCACGGATTTTCGTGTGGATCCGCAGCTGCACCACCCACACATATGTCAAAGCTTAATTGAATAAGCTGAAGCAAGAAGCTGATTGGCTACCATGCACAGCTGCACCAGATTATGAGTGATCCAGTTTTAGTAAATCTCCCCCATGCCTCCTGAGCACTCAAGAATGATGATTCTTTGTTTTACAAACTCCATCCCTTGTTTCATGCTATTAATATGACTATAATCTATTTCTAGGAAGAGCTTTTGTAGGCAGCATGGGGCCATGCTTCATACAATGGACTATATTCAAGCTACCAAACAAGAGAAAGGAGACATGTTTTTCATGTTAGCAACCTATAAAGAGTCTTGTGATTCCTTTTAATATAATATATGTACCCCCTTTTCCCCTACGGTTGCTGTATTTATTCCTGTAGGCCCATAGGTGTACAAAAGATGGAAACAAAATTAGAAAATGTTAAAACAATTTGTACATTTTGAGTCTAAAGCTGACCATACACAGAGTGGATGTCTGCTGGTTCCTGATGAATCAGGCCAAATTCAAGCTATGGGTGGCCCTGTTGACTTCCTCCTTCTTGACATCCTTTAATCTGAAAATCTGAAGGGACCAGGAGGAAAATTGTTGGTCAAACAGTGGATGCATCCATTCAGATGCAACTGTTGTTCAGGTATTCTGAGGGTGCCAGCTGTCAGAATACAAAACCCGGGAGGGGACCCTCTTCCGTCTTTGCTGTTTAGTGCGGTTGGGGGCTAAAAGAGAGAAATCTTACAGTGCATAATACTGTAACTGTACTGCAATAGGCACTGACCCTTGTGTCATTATGATATGATGCTGCCACTGTTCAACTGACATTTTTTCAATCAAAAGATATGCTAACCACTGAACCACTGTGTTTCAGCCCTCAGTTTTTTAATTGACAAATGGTGGGCGACAAGGGGCTGATAGTGTATGGCCATCTTAGTTTCTCTTTTCTGCCTTCTTTTTGTCTGTTAAATATACAATTGAATTTGTTTTGTTGTAGCTGTTTGATAAATGCCAAAAAATACATGCGGATCTTGCCAGGAATTTTGAGAACTGATAACTGCTGCCTTTACTAACTTATATTAATAATAATAATAATAACAATGATGATAGTAATAATGATAATTGTTGCATTTTCTCATTGTTATCAGTTATTATTGTTCAGAGGTATCTTTAAAATGATTGTAAAGGTTTTTGTTTTCTTTTAAAATAGCAAACATGCTATACTTGCCTGCTCTGTGCAATGGTTTTTCACAGAGTATCCCTGATTCTCTACTCCTGGGGTCTCCTGGTGGCGCTCCGGGCTCCTTCTGCCTTGCAAGTGCCCAAATAGCAGGCCAATTGGGTGTACTCATGCGAGCTTGATCCTGAGCTGCCCTGTGTGCATCTATTGACACACACAGTGCAACTCGCCCCAGCTCCCTCCTCTCAGGATTTGATTGACAGCAGCAGGAGCCAATGGTTCTCACTGCTCTAACTGAATCCAGTGAAGAGGAGAGGAAGAGAGCAGCACCACATGTAGAGAATGCATTAAAGTAAAATAAAAACCTTTAGCCTTTACAACCACTTTAAGGAACTGCAGAATCATGCCGCTCTATGTTATAGAGACGTAAATAGGGAGCAGAGTACAGTATGCTGAGTATTGCCATCTGAAGACTGGAAGTGTATTAGTGGCAGCACCAGGTAAAAAAAAAAACTGGTAAAAATACTGGCACCAGGTAAACATGAAGGAAAATGAATACTGGCACCTTATCTAAGGACTGTTGAGTTGCAACATTATAATTTTTTGTTTTTGTGTTTATATACGCTCATAGTGCACTTCACACTTTAGTAAACAGACTGACTGAAAGTGCTCAGACAGAAAACACACATCTAAAATAATTGTTCAATAGTCATCATCCGAATCAAGC